CAGTCCGCCAATACATTAATCGGTTCTAGGGCTTAAATTCCTTACTATTTTTGTAAATATCAAGAAGTTTATACTATTCAATAATTTTAAAAGTTTAATATTCAATTTTTTAGTCATTTTAACAATTATTGAACAAAATTGAAGGTAAAGTGACTAGTTTAATGCGCGGCATCCAGCCTCTTAACACAGCAAACAGGCGTCAGTCTCTCTCTGTTTTCACTGGAGGTAACATCTTGCTTGAGACTCTCTTCAACTAAACGCTTTTTTTCTGTGTTTCCAAGCAAATTATTGGTCATTTTGAAATATATTTTATATATTGACAATATATAATGCAGTGCAGCGTTGATTTAAAGAAAATAATCTTGAATTAAACCAGAGAGCTAAAATTTTATGGGTGAAATGGCACCATGGGGTGACTTCTCTTCCACCCCAATGCCTTCTCTTCTTCCTTCTCCTCCACCCCCATTCTAAATCCCATCATCATCATCATCATCCAGGAGCCTTCTACATACACACCTCAAAGTAAGTGAACTTTTCTACCATTTTTGTTGAATTTAGGAAATTTTCGGTGAGCTGGAACCAATTACCCAAAAACCCATTGAAACAATGGTTTCGGTTAACGAACGTTTCGGTTAACGAACGACCTTCTGGAACGGATTGAGTTCGTTAACCGAGGGGCCACTGTATTTACAGAGTTTGTTGAGGCTCCCTGGACGGGAATGCCCTGAATTTATTCCACGGAATCTATTCACGCCGTTGGTAATATTCGTCCCAGGACTGATCAACGAATTCAGCCCAAGTAGCTTGACTTGGACAGCTAAGGACAAAATCTCAGTCCGTACTTTTGAATAAAATATTGTTCAATAGGTGGTGATATTGAAGTGCTGAAAGTTGTTTTTTCTGTGTTGTTTTGCAGTTAGTTCAAAGGGCCGCCACCAAGATGGGTCGTCCTAAGATTAGCAACACTCAGCTGCGCCAGGGTAACGATAAGGTGTTCGGGGTTCGGATGCCTCTGCCATCTAACAAGTTGCCTCTGAACAAGGAAGTTGGAAGTGCCCTGGCTTATGAAGCAGAAAACGAGAGGTTAAGGAGAAGAACAAATGCTTTTGATTATATGGATGCCACCAACAAGGTGACTGAGAAGGTACTGGATGTGTATAGGAAGGCCACTGTCCCCACTATCTCTGAAATCAGGGTGAAAATGAGAGTCCACGACCTGTGGAGGATGCGGAGGGAGACGATGATGATGAAGGGAAATGGACAGAAACAGAAAAGGAAGAAAACGAAGAACGGGAAGCTGAAGATGAGGTTCGAGGATATAGCTGAGAAGTTGTTTGATGTGGCAGACGACAGCAAAGTGCACGAACGAGAGAAAAGCTTCCTGGCAGCCCAGAGGAAACCGGGAAGGGAGGGCTGCATTGATGGCGTTGACAAAATTGTGACTGCCAAGCTGAAAGAAGAGAGGGAGAAGGAAGCGAAGAGGGCAAAGAAAAGGGCTGAGGAAGAGAGGAAAACTGAGAAGATGAGGTCAAAGAGTAAGGAGGAGATGGAGAGGATGTCGTGTAAAGTGTCGGCAGTGGATGACAGTGCTCAGGAAGAAGATAGTGATTATAAGGATGTCAATGACAATGAGTTCAAGGCTATGGTCGACAGGAGAGCAAGATCAGAGAAAAGGAAAAGGGAGAAAGAAGCCGAGGACAGGATCGGAGAAACTGCTGACAGGTTCAAGGTATCCAATGATGCAGTGGCTCACATCGCAAACACCATCAGAGCTGCAGACAACATCATAACTGAAGGGGACAAGTCTAAAGTGACTAACTGGAAGAAAGTGGAGAGACGTATGTGGTGACTTGCAGCAAAAATATCGGCATAATTTGTAGCGCATTGAGTTGTAAAACAATAGCATATTATGAACCAGTGTACACAGTAGTCGAATAATCCAATTCAATAACTTGATTTTAACAGGTTGTGCCACATTGCCAGTCCCTTTATTATTTACAGTTTTTTCGCATTTTTCAAACCCAAAAGTATCCACAAACCTTCTAATGCAATGATGTAAAAAACTCAAACATATTCGGAATTAGCGTGGCCGATAGACAAATAATCCAACCCATGCAATTAGATTTTGAAAACTTTTGCCAAACTGTCACTCCCTACTGTACAGTGGGTAGTCAACAAAACATGTAGCCATGTCTCTTTATTTGAGTGCCCCGTCATAGGAGTCCGTTTTCTCTTACTTCAGGACTCCTGAGTCGTCCGTTTTCTCTTAATCTTAGAGTGCAGTACACCAGATACTTCTTTATTCCGTAGTAATGACACAGAATTTTAAATTGCAACCCCAATTGCAACTGTTGAGGCAACTAGATATGTCTGATTACAGCAAATGTGTTATTGTCAATTTGTGGGTGAAAGATTTTATCCTCAATAGATGTAGGTTAACATTACACCTGCAGGCAAATGTTTAAAAAAAGCCTAATCAAGGAAGCATATTCCTTTAACACATAATATCTGACCAGTATGGGGAGGATCATCGTGTCTCCGTCACGGGGTCTTGGAGTGGTGGTCCAGCAGGTGTCACGGATTTTTTTTGGGGGGGAGGGGGGGGGCACGGACGTATATGCGATCGGACGTTGTTCGGTCGGACGTTAACCGGCGCATGACTGTATATCAACAATTTCACAAAACACAAATCCCGGACAACTGGAGATTCAGAGTTTCGACAACACTGTCAGGCGACCGCTGTCAACGTCCTCATTCCTCTTTGACAGAGAGCACAGAAAAAATGACATTGTTCTCAGTCTGGGTGGTAAGATGGGGTGGCTTAATTTTACCTTTGACCTCAAGTCAGCAGATGCATTGCCTAACTGTGCTGGTCACTAATCCTTCAGGTGGTCTCCTGAAGCTGGGTGGTAAGGTGAGGTCAGCTTAACGCGGTTACTAATTCTAGTGTTGGATGAGGTAAGGGTCACAGGGCCCCCACTAGTGAGAGGTCCGGGGCGGTCGCACCGGTTGTCATACCCTAGGGACGGCTCTGCCTGGGGAAGGGAGTCACCCACCAGCTCTACCTCCTGCCAGCTGCTCCCAGATTCACTCTCATCTCCCAATTTTTTCTTTATTCATTAGGGACAGGAGAACAACGGAATGATTTTTCCACTAATTCTGTGATTTCCAGTAGAGTGTAATTCCTTTTATCTGAATTCCGACTACCAGGTATATGTGCTACAATACTGTAACACACATTTTATGTACAAAAAATAGCTCCTTCCATGCTCCAACCATTCTCTGGGGAACACAAGACATTTCAGCCAGCCAGTCAACCAGATGACTCTCCCCCGTGTGTGTGTGTGTGTGTGTGTGTGTGTGTGTGTGTGTGTGTGTGTGTGTGTGTGTGTGTGTGTGTGTGTGTGTGCGTGTGCGTGTGTGTGTGTGTGTGTGTGTGTGTGTGTGTGTGTGTGTGTGTGTTTGTTTTTGCTATGATGTCACATCTCACATCGAGGGGGGGAGCGCGGGCCGTGTGGGTGGCTACTGGTGAGTCAGTAACACAGTTACAGCCCACTGCCTACACACATGTGTTCACTTCACACACATACACACTCTTACACATTTGAGTATTTTAATGATTAATTCACAACTTTTATAGTTACATAGCATATACTGTACATGTAACAAAGGCAACATGCCATCTGAGAGGCCACCTCATCATCAGTTTTTTCCCTTTAACATAAGGTTTTTTAAGGAATACAATCCCAGAGTTAAATGAGAGATACCTGTACTTAAATATAATACTTTACAGTACAAAAGTCATATTAGTGAAAACCGTTGTCCACAGCCACAGTTACGTCTGATTTTTTTTAGACATTCCAGATAAGCAGGGTTGTGTCCAAACACCCCCCACCCCTATTGATTTGCTTTTCTGGGACTTTCGCTTTTTCCGGACTGGGATCTGCCGCAATTAGTCCAGTGTATTGAGGTGCAGTACTACTGTACTGTACTTATTAATTTGGTGATACACACGAATTCAACGTCAGCAGGGGTTTCATCGTCATAGTCTTTGTCTTTCCCATATACAAGAACACTTGCAGCAAATGTTATTGTCATTATTAACATTACTACAGTACTGTACATTATGATTATCATAAATAAGATGATCATATAAAACCTACCTAACCTACCTATCTAAGGATGGAAGTACTACTGTAGACTAGATTAATATTATTAATATTATTATTTTACATTAGGTTAAATAAAATACAGTAGTAAGTGTTGTTCAGTAGATTTCTATGGAAAGGAAGGTAAAAAGATGATCATTTGGTCATCCAAAAATTGCCTGACTGGGAGGTAATCCATTGCTTAGCATTCATGATTGGTTAGTTGGTCAGTATGTGTTTGTCACAGTCAGATGCAACATGGCATTGGGCACAAAGCAGATGGTTGACAGCAACCTTTTTATACAGAGTACAGAAAAACCTGAGAAAAGAAAAGGGGCTATTCCTTTACCAAATTTGTTTTAGTCATGAGGTAAGAAAAAAGTTATTTTCTAAAGAGATTTTCTATTGAGGTTTTTGACTAAGTGGCTGAATAGCCCACACCATTGACCTCAAGCATAGCAAAGCTCACCATGGTACAAGTATACAGTACTGTATCCACACTGTTCCTAATGAGCAGTCAGGCCTACAAATTCCACTTTGACTTTCAATAAAATGTGATAATGTTCCTCAGGCCTCCTCTCTCTCTACTCTTGATGAGGGAAAACCTTAGCTTCTACTTTTATTTTCAAGGAGAAAGTTGTAGCAGGGAAGGCAGAGTGATAAGATCAATTCCTGCCACCAGTGTCAGGTCTTCTGGGTTTATAGTGTTGTATTTATAATCAAGTCACCAAGTGAAAGGCAACTAACCGTGAAGTACACTACTATACTGTATAGTACATGTATATCATACCCTTCTAGTTATCAACATTCTTACTAAAGTACAGTAGCTACTGTACAGTACCCTGTACTTACATTTTTTGTCGTGGTTGCGCTATGGTGTTATAATATTGTGCTTGCCATTCTCTCTTTTTGTGCAGATTGACCGTATTTTTCCATTCCTCCATCCGCCACGCTTCTTCATTTCTCCGTTGATTGTATGCCTCAAACCACTCACGTGCAGATCCTGGACGGCTGCCTGGACGGACTCTCAGAGCACCAACAACAGAAGTCGACCGGACAGACCCAGTTGTCATGGGACGACGCCGAGACATAGCTGATGAATTAAAAGGAAAGGAATTCATATCACCTGAAAAATTAATTTCATTAAATAAATTTACAGATTTATCTAAATGGCAAACTCTCTATGGAAACTAACTGAAGGAGCAGATACCATGGCAGCACAGTATCTGCTACAGGTTGACAACCCTTTATCCGAAATTCCGAAAACCGAAAAGCTCTAAAAACCTAAAGTTTTTTGTGGGGCATTATTTTTTTTTTATACAGGGATTATTAGCCCAGCCAGGCACAGATCACTGACCCACATAGGGGCCTGGGGGGCAAAAATGTAATAGTAATAGTAATAGTAATAATAATAATAATAATAATAATAATTATAATAATAATAATTATTCATGGTAAGTAAAATTTTTAATAATTATACACCAAAATAAAATAATAATGATTACAATAATAATAATAATAATAATAATAATAATAATAATAATAATAATAATAATAATAATAATAATAATAATAATAAAATATAATAATAAAATTAATAATAATAATAATAACAATAATACTGTAATAATAAAATAATAATACAATAAAGAAATACAAGAATGAAAAAAAGATCAAAAGTGAGAAACACGACCTAGACCTATGAATTATTATTATTATTATTATAATTTTTATTATATTTTAGACCCCCAGGCCCCAATGTGGGTCAATGATCTATGCCCGGGTGGGCTAATAAAAAAAAAAAAAAAAAAAACCTTCACCATTCTGAAAACCGAAAAATTCCGAAAACCGAAATGCCTCTGGCCCCAAGGATTTCGGATAAAGGATTGTCAACCTGTATAAGCTTCTTCTAAGTGCAGTGACTCTGAGCACTAATCCAGTCTTGCATCAGTCTCATCTAAATGAAGGATGCTCATTAAATTAACTGATAGTTCAGAATTCAAATAAACATAGAAACTCCCCATAACAGGCCATCTATCTCATACAGTAGAACGTCGATATAACACGAGATACGTTCCAAGAGAGGTCGCTTTAAACAGAATTCGCACTAAATCTAAATGTTGTTTCAATGGAATAATTTAGTTTGGTACTTGAGAGAAACACAAAATACTAAAAAGAAAGTCTACCCAGATTTACCTCAGCCCATCTCCTACAATAAACAAAACATTGTTTTTTGTAGTATTATGTTAAAGCAAACACTCATAAATCAACACAGCTAAAATCATGGAACGTGAAATGGTCTGTTTACTAGCGATAAGCAGATGTGAGAGGGTGGTCGCGCAGAAGCTGCCGCGCAGGGTTGCCAAATCTGGCCTTTTAAGGACAGTCTGTCCTTTATGAGACCTGCTTGTCACTTTATAAAAAAAAAATCATCCATAAACTGTCCTTTTCTGAATTTTAAGTCTATACAGTATTGTACTACAAAAAGGTAAGTTGTTGTTATTGTGTGTGTGTGTGTGTGTGTGTGTGTGTGTGTGTGTGTGTGTGTGTGTGTGTGTGTGTGTGTGTGTGTGTGTGTGTGTGTGTGTGAGTGTGTGTTTGTGTGAGTGTGTGTGTGTGTGTGTGTGTGTGTGTGTGTACAGTAATACCTCGGTTTATGCAGGTTTCGTTTACGCGTTTTGTCATTTACGAGGTACCCTGCTAGACCCGGAATGCCCAATTTACGCGATGCACCTACTCATATACGCGGAGAGCGGCTGGTGGTCCAGCCGCGCCACCATTTTTGGATTCAAACCTCCTGCCATCTCTCGTCATGCTTGGGCAAGCGGCGCGGGTAGGTTGTGCAGTGGATGCCTCTGTTGCATTATCGCTGACGTCATATCACGTATCGGACTGTGATTGGGCCACGCATCCTTACCTCCCTCCGCCGCTAGCTGTAATTGGTTTAATGTAATATGACGTGCCTTCCCGCCGGCGGGTAGAAGGCGCTTGACCTAGCCGCATCAGTTACATCCCTACCAGCCAACCCGTGTGTACTGGTATCTATTGTTCCGTAAGAATGGCTGCCACCAGACCCCCACCACCACAGAAAAACCTTCCATTACCTGGACCCAGCCGCCCTAAGCCAAAGAAGATACAATGTGCCCTAAGCTACGATGCGAAGTACAAGATAATTCAAGAGTTGGAGAAAGGAACAAGACAAGTTGATTTGGCGCGCCAGCATGGCGTGAACGAATCTACGATCCGGATGATAAAGAAGGATGCAGCCAAGATAAAAGAACACATGAACATCATAAAGTCTGCAGGTGCTTCAATGATCAAGTACTGCCAGAACAAGGTGCTTCTCAAGACAGAAAATTTACGTGTATGTTACTTGATTCGTCAGGCAAGACGGAACATGGCGGTCGACACGCGGTCAGTTCAAGAGTACGCACGTGAACTGTACACAGCAATGGCACGTAAGATGGGAATTGCAGAGCCCAAACCCTTCAATGCTTCCTCTGGGTGGCTGCAAAGGTTTAAGAAGAGGAACAAGATCACCAACATTAACATTGGTGGTGAAGGAGCGAGTGGTGACCGTGTTGCGGCTAGGGATTTTCCTCCATTCTTACGTGAGGTTATAGAGGAAGGACAGTACACCGACGACCAGGTGGTCAACATGGACGAATCCGGTCTGTTTTGGAAAAAGCTACCTACCAAGACCTTCGTTGTCAAGACTGCCAGCAAGTGTCGGGGCCGGAAGTTGCAGAAGGAGCGCATCACCGTCCTGTTTACCATCAATGCCTCCGGTTCCTGTAAACTCAAGTTATCGGTGATCCACACAGCCCGCAAGCCACACGCCTACAAGAACATGGACATGACCAAACTAAATGTCCACTGGCTAACCGCACGTAAGGCGGTCCCTCTCCTGGTTTGACGACTGTTTCGTTCCCGATGTGAAGAAATTCTGCGAGCAACAGAATGTTCCATTCAACATTTTGTTGTTCCTTGACAACGCACCAAGACACTCGCCCCTACTGTTGGATCGTCACCCCAACGTAAAAGTGGTCTTCCTTCCTCCCAACACTACATCATTAATCCAGCCCCTGGACCAAGAATTAATCTACAATTTGAAAGTGGCATACTCTGCAAAGAAGTTTAAGCTCCTGAACGACTGTACCAACACCAAGGATGAGTTGCGTAACCTGGGTGATACCGATAGCAAGAGCGACAAGGACGAGGAAAAACAGTTGGCGGATCAAGAAGTTCTCGTCAAACACTTTTGTTAGAAATTTAACGTCAAGAAAGCTGTGGACTTCTTGGTGGAGGCATGGGATCAGCTGTCTGTAGCAACGGTTCGTCACGCATGAAGGCATGTGTTGCAAGGTATCCCAAGTGAGAGGCAGAGTCAACCTGTGACTGGTGAGGTTCAGTCTGTTGCAGTGGCAGTGGACCTTGCAAGAGAAACTGCGGAGAGTGTTACAGCTGCAGGCTTCTCCGAGACCACCAACGAAGACATCCTGGAGGTGATAAGGGATCCTGAGGTGACTTCGGACGAGATGGTAAAAGACAATGACGTCAGAGAAGAGGCAGGTGGTGCGTCATCCCGAGAAGAACACAAGTTAACGCATGGTAATGTTAAGGATGCCATCAAGTGTGCAGAGAAACTGAAGCTCATCCTTTCCAACGACCATGACGATAACCGCTATGAAGTCTTCATTACCCAGCTGTTGCAGACTATGGAGCCGTACATCAAGGTGTATCACGACAACATCAACACTAGCCGTCAGCGTAACATCACGGACTTCTTCGCCCCCAACCCACTACAGCCAGCCCAAGCCAGTGACAGTGATGGTGACTTTGAGGGGTTTGTCAGGGAGGCCCTGACAAATGTGGATGACAGTGATGGTGACTCACCTGAGGGCCAGTAGTCTGCCCTCTGCCTCGGAACCAGCCGCCATTCCCGTACGCCAACCCATCTCTTCTACTAGCGTGAGTGTTAAACCCAACCTTGATTTTTTCTAACCTAACCTAATGTAAGTGTTAAACCTTGATTTTTTCTAACCTAACCTAACCTTATGTAAGTGTTAAACCTTTATTTTTCTTTTACCTGGTACAGTATATTATTCTCTTGTTGATATTTCTCTTCTATATCATGTGTGTGTGCATACCATCATAAAGTTAAGATACTATTTTTACTACAACGCAGGTATTGTGTCTGAAAAAGTGGTGTTTGCGGGTCGGCCCAGTCTCTATTTCAATTATATATATATACAGTATTACCCCGCTTTACGCGGTTTCACTTTACGCGATTTCTCATATACGCGGTGCCTCGCCAGAACCGAACCGAACTTTCCGCGGTTCATCTGCCCATATACACGTGAAGTATAATTTTTTTTTATTTAGCTCATAAAATTCATACACATTACCCGGCCAGAATATAATTTACATTGCTGGAATTCTTACAATTTGATGATCATTTTGAATATAAACATCATAGATTTTACATTGGACATACAAATTTTAGATCTAATGTTTACTCTGAGTAAATATGTTATCTTTTGTGCAAAATATATGACATTTATATTCAAAATATTACTGGTCTTACAAGGAATCCAGCAATGTCAATTATATTATCCTAACTTTAGTCTGAGGTATTATTTATTACTAAAAAGTTAAATAGTCTGGTTTTCCCACACATTTATCTGGTAGGGAGGGTTGGTGGGGGGTGGGGGGGAGGGAGGGACCGACCGACCATCTGGCACGGTGTGAAGAATATTTTTTTTTTTTTTATTAACTGAAGATATTTGTTTTAGCTCATAAAATTCATACAAATTACCCGGCCAGAATATAATTTACATTGCTGAAATTCTTACAATTTGATGATCATTTTGAATATAAAACATCATAGATTTTGCATTAGACATACAAATTTTAGATCTAATGTTTACTCTGAGTAAATATGTTATCTTTTGTGCAAAATATATGACATTTATATTCAAAATGTTCCTGGTCTTACAAGGAATCCAGCAATGTCAATTATATTATCCTTACTTTAGCTTGAGGTATTATTTGTTACTAAAAGTTAAAATTAGATTTTTCACCCAACATTTC